GCCTACCACAGCCAAATCGTGGCCGATTCTGATAGTTCCAGTTAGTGTGGACCCATCGCTATGATGATGGACAACCTCATGATGGAATGCCTGCTTGCAAGAATGGATAATGTTACCTTGCAGAAGATTTTGGGATGCTGCTGGCGCCTGCATTTTATGTATATAGCTGTTTTTTTAAATTTATTACAATAACAGATTCTCATTAAATTATATCACTGTAGGGCCTTCATAACAAGAGCACCAGTTAATACTGTAATGAAAGCTTTAGATTTAAAAATATTGAGAATGCCTTTTCAGATTACATGAACATAATATTTTGATGACTTGGTTTATATAGACATTACATTTAGTAATAAAACAATCAATGGCAATGCAGTCCATAGCAACCAATCCAATTCCCATTGTCATCTGATTTGTTGTATTTGTAACACTTCAGGTTTTCTTTTCTTGCTTTCTTTACAAACCAATTGAGTGTATGTGCTGATTGATGATGATGAAAACATGATGATAATGATTATTATAAGGCCTCATGCACACTGCAATCAGAGCTGCAGCTGTGGATTCGTGTAGCAAAAACATGCAGATTCTTGTGGCAGTTATCCCAGGTGTGTACGCACCTGATTTGTAGTCAATGTTCATTTGGTTTCCCCTAATCAATCTGTCATCATTTGCATCTGTCTGCTGCTGGGTGTACCCTGGTCACAGAACAGAGCAACCAATTAGGGACTGCTATGAGTGGATATCCCTCTCCAGCCAATCACTGTTAGATGATGGCCAGTGGTGCATGCTGGGGGAGGAGATAAATACTTGGGGTGGACCATGTGAGCTCTCTCTTCCTCCCCTGGGCCCTGCCTGGGGGGGAGGCTGCTATGGACTGTCTGAGATGGCTATGCCTGAAGCCTGGGGACTAGGCATGTGCTTACACTGAGGCTGGAGGCCCAATGATTACTTCTGATGAGAAGGATGAATAGGGCTGATGACTTTTACCTCAAGTGCTGCTGTGCCAGGTGTTCTTCATGCTGTGAATGGAGATAGCTATTATACCCTGCCACTTAAAAAAGTCTACATCAGCCTGGATAATCCTAACCCTCAACCTCTCTCCCTGTTGTTCAGGAAACACAGGGATATCCATTGCTTTATTACTGTATGCTGCTCCGTAAGGGGTGCACTTCACATGATTACATGAGGACCACCACTGACAGATGCTGCTGCTGTCACCCTGTCATTTACTTGAATGGCCGCATCTATATGGACATGCCTGGGATTCCTGCTGCAAGAATCCTCAGGTTCTCATGGTAGGAATCCCCTGACACAGCTTCGATCACCATGTGCATGAGGCATTGCACACAGTACATTGCTAACCCTATAATCATAAGCATGTTGTAAATCACCTTCCTCCTTGGGAGACATGGCATGTGGATGAGATAAATCCTCAAATTTCCTGCACACATGTTCAGGACATGAATAGGTTTTCATGTCTGATCATTATCTACTTAAGAATCATACAATATTTGCACTGGTTTAAATACTCAGAACATGTTTCTCATACCACAGTGTTGGGAAGCTGAGGGCTGAAGCTACACTGGCCAATCTCACTTTACCTTTTTATTAAATGAGATTTGCCCTCACATGAAAACCCAGACAGTAAGCCATGCTCAAACACCAAAGACAAAACACACTTATTGGGTGCAAAGACATTGAAAGAAGAATGCACAAACTACTATTTGAAATAGCTGAAGCATAGTAAAACACAGTATATAATGTGCTTTCTGCAAGGGGTCCGGAAAAAAAGATGTTTGTTTTTAATGTTTGAATAAGTAAAGGGCTTAAAACAAGCCCTTACAGACATTCTGCTGCTGTATGTTCTGAAATAACTTTGCAGAAACTGATCTTCGCACTATAAATGGTAAGCCCTTTAAAGAGTTTCTCCAGCAAAAATCTCTGTCAGGTTTTCATTGTTGTCTCGGTCTCTGTTGCAAGATTTCTTGTTACCTCCTGGTGACCACCATTATTAGGACAGAAAGTGTCGGACAATAAAAACCTGAATGGGCTTTATGTGTTTGTCTCATTAGAGAGATCTCCAACGCCACTGGGACGGGATGTCGGGAAAATATTGCTCAACAGGGGTACAGACAGCCAGGGTCGGATTTCCCACTAGGCAACGCAGGCATCGGAAAAGATGGGGGTTGCGATTCAGATTTCTCTGCCTACAGGCTCCAGAGAATTCGGCCCTGCAGACAGCATAGATTCTAACAATGTCCCTCACTATCCAAAACTGGAGCTTTACACAATGCTCCTTGTTATATTGTAATTGTCTCTTATATCTATGAAGTCAGTATCACAAGACAAAATACCTAGCCAGTACTATTATTCGGAAAATAAAATGTAAAGCTTTCACATCTTAATGCAAAATAAACCTATCAATCAATGTAATTCATGAGAAAAGTATTTTCACTTTAAATAATTAATCTTTTGTTATGCAACATTGTTTTTTCTCCACCAATCTACAAACTAAAGAAGACTTGCCCACTGACTGTTTAGGATGAGCTCAGGTTCCAACCGAACTGAGACTCCCCTGTACATGGAAGAAAGCTCTCTCTACTTCCGCCCATCCAGTTGCAACCAGAAAATGCACCGCCTGCATCTGCACAGAAGCAAAGGGTCAGCATGCTGTGATGTCTTCGACCTTATATGGGCAAATGGCTATATTTGGTCAATGGCATTGACCCTAGAGGACCATGTCATCAGTATCAGCACATAAGCACAAGTACCCTGCACCTTTGTCTATGTTCAGGTGCGGGGTAGGGAATGTCCTAGCCCACAGCTGATTGGGCAAGTGGTTCCATGGTACTTCTGGGTTTGGTGGATATCAGGTTCGGACTGGATTTGATCCAAACCCAAGCTCATCCCTTCTGACTGTAGCTAAGATACCAACACTTCTTTTTTGATTTGTGTGCTGTGCAGTGAAATGGCAGGCTTATGTATGAGGTAGAGAACAAGATGCCTACAATGACTCAGTATGGTTCCCATGTATCTATGAACAATCATGGAACATGGTTTATGACAAAGGGAAAAAACAGTTGCCTAGCAGCACCTACTGATTCTTACCCTGGGTATCCACAAGAAACTTCCTTTGTTGCTACAAACGACACTTACAAAGTGCTATAATAAGAAAACAATTTAGGGCTCATTCACAGGGCCATCCTGGGCAGTAGACCACCCAGATCAGTGCATTTCTGTGGTAGATAGAGACAGGCATTTCTAATTAGCTGTAGCAGCTTAGCCTATACAAATAAGTAACAGTCTGAGTGACTTTACATCTGTCTGCATGCATCTGTGAACATGGAGAAAATATCTGTGGTTAGGGACAGAGGAATGGCCCTGGATGCAAACAGTCTGTGTACATGGCCATTCGTCTGTTCCTGGCCGCATGTAATCACTCCTTGATTAATTATCTGCAAATAGCTGTGTACAGCTGCAGAGAGTGTCAGCCTGTCATTGATTTGTACAGGCTTCCTGTTTGCAGCTAATTAAGACAGTGTATGATCATGAACGCCATGTGAATGAGCCCTAATAAAACAATAAAAAAATGTGTGTGTGCAAATGTCAATGACATAAACAAAGCCTTCTCATGCCAACATTTTTACTGGAGAGACACAAAAGAAGAAAGAAAGCACATCAACCTAGTGTAGTACTTTTAAACCCCTTTGATAATAATAATATATTGTACTTACATAGATAAAATTATGCAGAGGTTATTGGGTATATACCCATCTGAATTCATCAATGCAGTCCTGTGGCCAGCGGAAAGCGATAGTCAGCATTCAGAGATGAAAACCTTCAAAGTAATGGTGCAGGCCCATTGTGCAGTGCACACCAAGCTTCAGGCAGTAATCCTCACTTTTGCATTTGTGTCCTAGGAGCAGGACACATTTAGAGGAATTCCTCTCCTTTATCAAATTGCTTAAGGTTGGTGTTTTTCTCGACTTTGTCACTTTCCACTGGCCACGAGAGTGCATACAGAAATTTGGTATATCCCCAATAAGCTTTCCAAAATATGTATGTGAGTGTAATATATTCTTTTTATTTAAGGTGTTTAAAATTACTACACTAGGCTGTGTGCTTTTTCTCTTCCCTTTTATGACAAAGGGGCTTAGTTCACTATTAATACAGCACTGGTTGTGGATAGTAGTAAAGTTTCCATCCATCTATCATTCTCAGTTGTCCCTCTCTTTGGTTTGATGTATAGATCTTTACAGAAAATGAACAATGTAACCACCAAAGGTGTGATGCTGTGCTAAACCTTATACCCAGTCTCTATAATATTTCATTTGTCAAAATCCAGTAAAAAAGAATATTAGTGGTAAAAAGAACTTGTGTGTTTAGCCAATTATGTATTTGCTTATTAATGCATCATGGTTCATCATGGTACATGACTGGGGCTTGGTAGGGGTGTGTCATTTGCCTACATAGTTTGTGCAAAAAGGTGTCCCTCTTTCCATTTCAATAGGAGATATTGGAATAAAAAAGCCTTTTCTCACTCTGATATACTATGTATTACTTTATATATGTGTGTCCCAGCTGACATGCAGGCATTAACTTGCAACAACGTCCTGTGGGCAAGTTTCCAGAATACAGTGGTTGTATAGGATAACTAAAACAAATACAAAGGCTTTACCTACCATGAGGTAGATTTTTACCTTGTGCCATGTTTACAGACTGGACAGGACACAGTTAATTCATTTTCCTTGTGCCATATTTCTGGCATCTTTTGAAATTAAATGCCTTATTTCTATCAAACACAAAGGCAGATCTGTGATTTTTCTAGAAAGCTGAAAGATGGTTTACACTGTACTATGCTTCCTAAATCTTACTCCCACACCTGGAAGAATGTTTAAGAACTGATGAGAGGACCTAAGATATAAATATTATTTCTACTCTATTAAACTGGTTTGATGAATGTATTACTTACATAAAATGCCTTGAGGTAAACGTCTTACTTGCCAAGTTTTCTTCCTCTTTTGGCATCGTGTTCAATACACCTTTCTTTATGAAAGCAAACTTTCCTGACATACAAGCGCAGTGCAAATGTTGCCTGGAGAAGAGCAGCGCCAACTTCGAAAAGCTGCAGACAAATTACATTATACTTGGATTCCAAGTGATACTCTTGACTTCACGTGTACTAGCCGCTGGGAAATTAACTACTAGAACAGTTAAAGCTCAACTCCAGCTGAGACTGTTGTTCAGTTTTGGATAAAGCAGGTGCAAATTAGAACCTCTGGATGTAGTAAATTGACTATGTATGGTAAACTAAAACCTCTTGCCAAACTTATGGAGTATTGGGGATCATTTACCATGAACACTTGGAGATATGCCCAATTACAGCACATCTTTCATGCAATGGGAGGGCTCTTTATGGACCAGAGACAAATTTGAGCAACTCTGCTTTGTAGAAGAGCTAAACTCACTCTCATATAAAATATTATTAAGCTTAGAGTCGAAAACTGACCCCTACTTTCTAAAAGAGTGGGAAAGGGACCTCGGGGTTATGTTATCAGAGGATCAAAAAATAAGTTAAATAAATAAATGTTTCCTCTAGCTCTAGGATGCCAGTGACATGTTTATTAGCTGTACTCTAGGTGGTACTGGGTTCTTATCAAATTACCCCACATGTATCCTAACGTGCCTTCTGGTTGCTGTGAGGAATGTGACGTGGAAGGTACGTTTCTGCACTTTTGGTGGGAATGCCCTTTCATTAGGGCCTTCTGGTTGAAAATACGAAAGGTTATATCCCACAATTAATGGATGACCCAGTAGCTATACTCGTTAATAAGACTCCTGTTCATTAAGAAGTACAAAAAGCCTTCCTACCTACCATACCTCCATAATGATCATCATGCCTTGCAAATGGAGAACTAGTCGAGTGCCCTCCCCCTGGTTCAGAGTGGTGAACGAGATAATGGAGAATGATTAGTAGACCTACAGGTTACTATTTGGGCAGGATGAATACACTTCACTACTACGGAGACCTACCTACAAAGACCTCAATGCATGAAGGGGCTTTATGTACATCTCCTATATACTAAACTGCTTATACAACATGCATGATAGATACAAGATTAATGTTTTGTTTTTTTCTGTTGCTTTATGTTGGGGTGAGTTGCAACGTAGCACGTGTTAACATGCATGCAACAAACAAGTGTGAATCTAGACTGAGGACAAATTTTAGGCTGCCTTCACACTTTTGTGCCTCAATCACAGACACCAGCAAACTATTTTGGTGCAACTGAGGAAGAAGCAGCAGGGGATTGCTAGAAAGGAAAGTACAAGGTCAGGGAGTAAGGTGCCTTTTTACACACACTGTCACTTTGCCCCGAATGTGACCATGTCCTTTTAACATGTATTGATTGACTGGAGCCAATTAATGTTGAATAGGGTGCCAGTGCACCACAACTCACAAATATCAGGCATTAACTTTTTTCTATGTAAGATATGGGCATTGTGATGTGCTGAAATGCACTGGCAATTAGGTGCACTGCAAGGTACAATGGTTAAGCCATTAAAAATGCATGGCACTGCAACACACAGCAGACATTACCACAAAGCATAGGTGTGAAGCCAGCCTCCAGATTTTTAGACTAAGTTGCTTAATTACAGCTTCTCAATGTTCACTGTTGTGCAAAAAGGCACAATTTAAAAATGTACAAAGATTTGTTATTGATTAACAGTTTTGTAAGTTATGTTGTGTTTGTGCCCAAATAATTATTTTAGTGTATTTTTATAGAAAATATTTTGATAAACCTTTGCTCAAATATCACATGATGTACAAAATCAGTAGCGCCATCTACAGGTCCTGTACTTTCAGAATAATGTATGGTTTGAGGGGATAATATACACACTTTTAACCCCTTCGTGACTGACGACGTACAGTGTACGTCGCCAGCATCGGGGCTGTTTAAACAGACTCCCGGCGACTTTTGCCGCCGGGAGTCTGTTTAAACTTGTAGAGCCGACTGTCGGCTTTACAACAGAAGCGATACTCTCGACTCACCTGTTGCCAGATCGCTTCTGTGTCCCGAAGAAGGGACTCAATAGCTTATTTCCAGTGTAAAGGTGACACTGGGGGTCTTTTGGACCCCCAGCATCACCATAAAGAGTACCTGTCACCACCATCTGCTATCACATGGGGGGCTTGTAAGCCCCTCCCCCCCCCCCATGTGATAGCAGTCAAAGTAAGGTTAAAAAAAAACAAAAAAACAGTTTTTAAAATAAAAATAAAAATAAATAAATCTAACAATAACAATAAAAAAAATGTTAAAGTCCCCCGCGAGCACGTGCGTCGCCACGTAAACACGCGTCGGGTGCGCCTACGTATGAAAACGACGAACGCGCTACACATGTTGGGTATCGCCGCGCACGCCGGAGTGAGAGCAATATTTCTAGGGCTTGTATTTTGGGGTATCTCTAAATAGATGACCTGTGGGGGCTTTTAAAGCGTCTTCTGTGGACTTTTTGGGGTACTGCAGTTTTTCGCCGTTTCACGAACGCACGCAATTTGTAAACTGGGCATGTTGGGTATCGTTTTACTCGTTGTCACCTCATCTTTTATATTTCATTTAAAAAATGGGTATTTTGTTGTGTTTTGGGGCATTTAATTAAATTTATCACTAAATTTTGGGGTTTAATAAGGAGTTGCGCTAATATTGCGCAACATAAAAATTTGCAACTACCACCATTATATTGTATAGGGTCTTGGCATTCAGAAAATATATAATGTGTGGGGGTTTTAAGTAATTTTCAGGCCTAAAATGTGGAATATAACATGGGTGCAAAAAATGAAAAAAAGGCCTCAGTCATGAAGGGGTTAAAGCTGTAAGTAAACAATATAGACACATGATAATAAAGGGAAAAATATCAAAAATGGGCCAGCCACTTGAGGTTAAAAGCCAAGAGCAGGGCCCGACAGCAAAGGGGTTAAGCAGATAGTAACATTTTGCAATGCAAAACAATAGCACTGTTGTCCCAATGTATATTACACATTTTGCATATGAACAAACAATACTGATAATATTATATACATTAGGTTGATCTCTATCACATGTATTTAAAAGAAAATATTAAAGGAAAACTAAAGTTATCAATTGAAATAATAGCAAAACAAATGTTAGAACAACTTAAAAGGCAAACGCCTTGACTATGAACTTAATACCGAATGTTGCCAAATTGCTCATACAATATATCCTTCACGGTGTAACATCATGTAAGCACAATCCAAATATTTAGGAGGAAAATGGAAATTAACGCACATCTGGGTGTTATTTCACGTGTTGCTGCTTGTTCAGATAGATGCTGCCAAAAGCTAAACTGAATGTCCAATAATATCACCTTTCATGGTGTCAAACATAATTGTATCTGATGGTCACTGGTAAGCCAGCTCTCACTTTCACTGCTAAGTATTCCAGCAACTGCAGGTCTATAGGCAATGCTGTAAGAATAGATAAACACAACAGCTATTATGTTATAAAGTCTTCAAAAGCTCTGACAGAGAGTGAGTAGATGTCAGTTTTTTTTTTTTTTTTTCACATCTTAACCTTATATAATTTCCATTAGGATGCAAAATTAGCCATAGAAATGCTGATGGAAGCAATAAAAAAACTGCATGTCTTGTCTAATATATGTTAGAAATACAACTAGATTTCAAGGGGTTTTGGTATATCTCCTATTTGCAGATAATGTTGTCCTTTTAGCCTCATCCAGCTGTAAACTCCAGCTGGCCCTTAACTCTGTTTCTTTTGAGTATGAAGCGTGAGAATATAGACAGGGACCTTTAAACCTGCGGCCATGGTAGTCCTGAAGGACTGTGGAATGTTCTTTTAGTTGCAGGTGGAAACATTGCCTTCCCTAAAGTAATATAAATATCTTGAAACCCTGTTTACAAGTATTGAAAAGAGTTTAGATTATATGTGTGTAAGGCATTACAGGTTCCTAGTTGGACGCCAACTCTTGCAGAATATATATGTATTTTTTAACTCATGCTTTGTACAATGAAAAAGCTTAGAAAAAAAAGACTTAAAACCAAGAATATATATGTTTTTATTAAGAGGCCCCCTTAAAAATCCCAATAAAATCAGGATCCAATGCACAAATTAACAAAGAAAATGAATTTGTTAAGCTGGTCATACGCAGCTCAGATTTTGGACGATTCCTGCTGAAATGGACATAATTTGAGCAGTGGGTGGCCTTGTCAGCACTAACAAACTTGGATTACAAAATCGAAGGAGGCAGGTAAAAAATGGTTGGTTAAACAGTGAATGTATCCAATCATATTCTGTCACTGTTTGGGTATTCAATCAGCTGTGGGTGCCGGCTACCTGAATAAATAGTCATCAGGTAGAGATACTTCTATCCATGCTGTCTCATATGGATGGAGGATGCAAGCGATTTCTATCATTCAGCCCATGGGGCTGAACAAGAGAAATCAAGTTAAATATGGCTAGCTTTAGTCCAATCTGCTCCTGAGTGAGACATCCTGTGAAATTCCCATGCTCCTCATCTAACATTTGGTTAATGTCATACCTGATCCATAGGAAACATTACTATAATCTCAGTGAGATTAATTTTTGGCTTTTTTAGAAAATTGGAGAACGAGGAAACTATTTAAAATCATTTTCAAATCTGGCAATTTTTAACACTACTTGTGGAATGGCCATTTGGCGAGAGGAGCCATTTAACAGTTCACATACTTCTGGGTCAATGAGGTGTGTAAGAACCCGATGCAGGTGTTGATGTTTTGAGAGGGTGGCCTTATGTTTTTAAGCATCCCTCCTCCCATAGATAATAGTCAATGGTTTTGCTATATATTTCAGGATGTGGGAGTAAAATCAGGTTCAGCAGACTGGAAAGCAGAATGGCTGATATATGCATGTCACACACCCTGGTATTCTGTAACTGGTTAGCATCTCTGTTACGATCTCTGTACAGAAACTCTAGAAGCCAGTGACAAGGTGGTCTGAAATAAGTTTTCCAGT